GGATGAGCTTATATTTTTAAAAATGTTAATAATTAAGAACTGACGTTGCTATCTTGTCAACTAATAATATTTTTGAAGATATAAACTCATCGAGATCTTTCATTTAAGTACCCACATCAATTTTTCATATATTTATATATATGTATATATGACAAATATATAAAAATGCATGTGGGTACTCAAATGAAAGCTCTTGATGAGTGTAACATCGGGATGAGCTTATATCTTTAAAAACGTCAATAGTTAAAAAAGTACAATGCAATTTAACAAAAGTCATTAATTAATAAAGCTAAATTTTATTTATTTATATTTAATAAGTCACGGCAGTCACATAGTGCCAATTCAAATTTCAACAATTTCCTTTACAAAAATAATTATTGAAAATCATTACAGGTCATTATCTTTTCTAATTTTGAACTGAAGAAATATCAAACCTTTTACGATAAGTATCTTTCTAAAGTCCGTTTTTAACCAAGCCAGAAATTTTCTGCATAATTAATCCCCACAAAGTAACCCTCAAAATTATAAATAATAATCCCAAGTAGCGCATCAATGAATAAATTAATGACAGATAATGAAATCTAAATAATAAATGAAATCAATAATTCGATAGACTTTAACAGCGACAATACACCGGTGAAGATTAATTTTATCGGTGTACAGAGCCATCAGGCATCATTACTTATTAACCAGCTAGCCGTGGAAATAACAATTGACTCATAACCAGATAGTAACCATGATTGTGAAGCGGGTGGTGCCGTCCCCTGGGATTCATTGCTCGATACGTTTCAGTTATGCTCACGAGAGGGTTAATCCAATCTGCGGATTCTCTGCATCTCTCTCTCTTATATTCAATTCCACAAGCTGCGACTGGATGTTGTCCATTTGACACCCGAGCATCGACAATGATTAGATTGCATTATCGACTGTCGAAGTAATACGTCAGCGCTAAGTCGCCAGTAATTTATTATTGACCAAAACAATCAATCGCCGCAACACAATAACTAATATAAACAATTAATAATTGTTCTATTTGTTAATTTCAATTATCAACAATTAAAGTTTGCTAATTAGTCAATTTGCATTGACTTTTTTTATCCGTTTGTTTCTTCTATATACTCTTATTAGTCTGCACTATTATATTAAACAAGTTAACTTTAATGTGTAATCACTTCAATAGCAGAATAATAAAAAAAAAATTTATTTAAAAAAAATAGACATTTTTAAGATAAGAAAATAAATTTTTTTTCTCTTGAAAAATAAACCAGGTCATCAAAATTATCTATATTATTAAGAGAATAATAAAATCGGCTTTTTAGTAAAATTTAGGGTCATTGTAAAGGTCTTGATTTTAATTTGTGCCTTTTCAAGGTTTCATATCATTCTCACCGATATTCAATTTATTATGATAAGTATTTAGACTGCATTCAAAAATGCTCTATCTTTATAGATACATAATTAAGAAATGATCTTGTATTTTGTGAACTATTGACATTTTTAAAGATATAAACTCATCCCGATGTTACACTTATCGAGACCTTTCATTTGAATACCCACATCAATTTTTCATATATTTATATATATTATGTATATGTATATATGAAAAATATATCAAAATGCATTGTGGGTACTCAAATGAAAGCTCTTGATGAGTGTAACATCGGGATGAGCTTACATCTTTACAAATAGTATTAATTAAGAAATGACCTTGTATCTTGTGGAATATTGACATTTTTAAAGATATAAGCTCACCCCGACATTACACTCATCAAGACCTTTCATTTGAATACCCACATCAATTTTTCATATATTTATATATATTATATATATGTATATATGAAAAATATATAAAAAATGCATGTGGGTACTCAAATGAAAGCTCTTGATGAGTATAACATCAGGATGAGCTTATATCTTGAAAAATGTCAATAATTAAGAACTGATTGATATCTTGTCAACTTGTGATATTTTTGAAGATATAAGCTCATCCCGATGTTACACTTATCAAGACCTTATATTTGAGTACCCACATCAATTTTTCATATATTTATATATATTATATATGTGTTTTTTATGAAAAATATATCAAAATGCATGTTGGTACTCAAATGAAAGCTCTTAATGAGTGTAATATCGGGATGAACTTATATTTTTAAAAAGATCTTAATAAAAGATTGGTATTATAATGATCAATAGTATTTAGAGAGTCATTATTCAATACAGTAAGTACCAATTGAAAAGTAATGATAATTTAGTTAAAACTTGTCGCTAATCAGAAAGTAATTACCGAAGGTGAGTGGGGACGAGTTTAATTTGATAAAATATTAACAGGCGCCGCTCGTGATGAAACTTCCCTGGGCGTTTGTTCTTTTAGTATTAACTAAAGTTGTCCTCCAGCAGGATAGTCCCTCCTACAGTGTATATGTCTAGATCTTCTCAGACTACACTAGTTGTTAGCACACCCCACGCGTTTTTATACGCAGTCACACTCCTGGGAATACACCACTAGTGGCAATCTATAAGAGATGAGATGTGAGCGAGCAAGCTGTTTTCCTAAACAAAACTGCTTTAAGCTTACTTTGTTCCTTGTTCCTGCTTGCATATCAGTTTATGAGCAATCGATGTTCATTATTGTCTCGCAGGAGGATTCTTGGGGCCTGCTTTTTTCATTAATTATGGTTATGGTACTTCGCTTCCCCCTCTCGAGCGTTTGTTGGCGCCACAAAATTTTGCTTATTCTCTTAATAATATAGATTTAAATGGTAACACATGAACGATGTAATTTTATCGACGCGAAAACTTATCAAAAATAATATAAAAAATGTCTCAAAATTGGTGGTCCGCCATTAAACATAAAGTGTTGAATAGGACAAAGATATTTAAAGGGCATTTAAGACTCGTAAAGTCAATATAACGCAAATTTTAAATATTGAAATAGTAAAAAGTGTAAATTTATTATCTTCTGTCGATTTTTGACTCATCTAAGTCGCATAGAAATTTTTTTACACTTTTGACACGGTTCAATACTTATATTTTAAATAAATTATCAATCATTTATAATTTATAGACATTTATGGAAAGAAATTGATTTCTTAATAAGTAGAGCGTTAAATAATAATTTAAATAAGAATAATTCAATGTTCATCCTATTGGAAATTTTCTAAGGATAAAAACTTCAATAGGTAAAATTCACATCTGTCAAACTTTGGATAATTAAAACTGAAACGGAAGCTGATATTAATTTAATGTAATTTTTTTAAGAAAAATTACAAGTCAAATTTAAAAATTCTCTTGATTTATATTTAAATTACAAGAGTGTCAATCAAGATGAATTTATCATTTAAAAAATGACAAGTAAAATCTTGAATCGGAGCAAACCCAAAATCGATTGTAAAAATACAATTTTAAATTATTATTCAGCTGGCCAATTTTAAAACACAGTAACTGACAATTTAAAGATTAAAAAATTTTTTTTTATTAAAAATAGTGATTACAAACTAGCAATAAGTGATTATTATCAATTATCGATTACTAAAAATTTTTTTTTTGTTTTTCTCTTCTCTAGGATCTCTTAAATCTTAAATCTACACTGATAGAACAACAATTTTGATTCAAGAAATTTTTTTTCTTCAAACGATAATATTGTTTTGATTGAAAAACTTAAATGTATCAATTGAAGATAATATAGCTCTTAAGCCAAGAAAATTTAAATTAAGACAAGAAATTCTTAGAGCAAGATAATCATTTGTCTTCCAAAATAAATTTTTAGATCACGAAAATATCTCTTGAGTCAACATAAATTATTTAATATGTTATTTAATTTTTTTTTTTTTTTTTTTTTTTTTTTTTTTGGTATCATTGTCAGTACAAAAAATAATTTTAAGAATAACTAACTTGTAAAAATTATTAACCCTGTTAATGGCTACGGCTGTTGGGTTTGTTTGTTTATAAATAAATAAATTATCTATCAGTGTATCATATCTTGATGGATACTGTTTATTGTATATAAACATTACTAAACATTCTATACATAAAAATGTAAAATATTCTTGTAAATTGCCGAGGGCGTTTCTTTACAAATAAATAAAAAAAAAAAAATTTTGCGCGCCAAATTGATAAAAAATTTAATTTATGAGTAGAAAATACTTGAATCTAAATATTTTAAAGAAGAAATACTTAAAATTAAGGTTTAAAAGTTATAAAAAATGCTAAAAAAAAATCAGGTATAAAAATTTTGCAGTTACCTTATTTTAAAATTGAGCAGTCGTATTATCAAAGCGAATTTATCCCTTGATGTAAGTGAACTTTGCATCGAATCGATCGATTAAATAATATCAAGTTAATACCTAATATACATGTATATATAAAAGGAATAAAAGATAATCGAATTAGGAAAATATAATATAAATCGCACCTCAATCGCACTTGATAATCCATTGAGTCAGCGTATGTCTCTCTTCGGGAGAATTTCACTCCATCTTGCTGTTGACAGAGAAAATCCTCAGAGCGGTTGGCATCACCAGCACCAGCAGGATATAGGAGCATCGCACCGGCGGCCACCCCGATAGTAGATAGTAGATCTATATATCCCGTTTGGAGCAGAGCTCGCTTGCAGCCCGGCCGACGTCCAATTAGGCCGGCGAAAATTTAATTAACGGCCCGCGAGGAATCGATGAAAACTCCGTGTCAGCTCGAAGACAGATGACTCGTCAACTTGGCATTAGTCTGTCTACGAATTTATATCTCACGTAACTTCATCGTCATCTTTCGTTTTATATAATAATTCTCCGAACTATTTCCAGATAATTTCTACCAGATAATTATTAATAATTATTGTCTATGTCTTGGTTTGTTAGATATTTATTTCACAACCTTACAACTCATTAATAATACTTTTGGTACATTATTAATTCAAAGTAATTTTTATAATAAATAGTTTTAATTATAATTATAATAAATAATCTTCTTGCTCAATAATTGTACTTATATTTGCGTTATTATTAATTATCAATATCGTTGGCCTCAAAAATAGGATGTCGATAATGGATGGGTAATTTATCTTCTTTGTTTATTTTTGAGAGAATTTCCAGCAGTCTGCACAAGTAAATCTAAAAAATAAATAATTATTAATTAGAGACATGTTTAATACAATTAATTATTTAGAAAAAAAATTGTTAAAAATAATACTAAATTATTGATTTTTTATACTGAAGAAAATTCATAAAATCACAAATTTGAGTCAATAAAATAGACTATTTATTGATTTTTTTTCATAATTGTATTAGATTAATTAAAAAATATATTGTAATTTTTTTATACAATTAAAAACAATTTGAATTATCAATTATAACTCAGAAAAAAAAATTATGGGTTTTTAAATTGACTATACTAAGGTAAAAGAACCAGTTATTGACACTTGCAATTTTATTTTAATTAAAAAAATAAAATGTTCTTAAAAAATCAATTTTATTAGAGTTAATTTGTTTTTTTTTTTTATTAAAATAAAATTACAAATGTCAATAACTAGGCCAGTGTCATTAACTGGGTCTTTTACCTTAGTCATCTATTTAATTCAAGAACAAGTTTCTTCAAGAACTGAACCGACGTTTTGTTCTCACTAAGTTAAGACCCAAAAAATTTACCGTGATTATTTATTAAACAGTGCTTTTATTGATGTAGAAAAAATTGCACAAAATATCTGTAAAAAGATCTACCAGTTGACATCATAAACACACTTAGTCTTGAGACTTTCAAATTTTTCCAAAATCTGGAGATGAGAAATGAAACGTTTCTAGAAAACTATTGATTCATAAGCAATCGATCTATCTGATGTAAAAAATAGTTTCATTACCAAACTGATTTAAAAATGCTTGTAAACTTATTGATATTTTGTAAATAACCATTAGTATCTTTTACACAAAAAAAAAAAGTTAAATTGAATCGAGAAAAATTGTTGAATCAAAAAAATAATTTTGAAAAGTTTGTCTTGAATCAAGTAAAATTTAGTTAAACCAAGAAAAATTTCTTAGTTTAAGAATTGTTTTACTCAAATCAAAAAGATGAAGTTCTTCAAAATTATTTACTTGATTGAAGTCAATTTTTTTTTCTATGTAGTCTTCAAAACTTCCTTTATTTTTTAATTATACTATCTCTTTATCATTGTATAACGATGTAAAATTTTCTTATGTAAATTCTACCATTGCTATTTGGCTTTAGCCTTAGTATTTAAATAAAATAAATAAAAAGTAAACAATTTTATTTTAAAGAGGTCCTTTCGCCGCCAATGTAAAATAAAAAATATTAGATTATGAGTAAATTCAATTTTTTTCTAATAGTTAAGGCCCTTATTTATCTAATAGTGAGGTTTAAATTATACTTTAATACCGGACTTGAGTTGTATTAAGGAGGTCCTTTCGCAGCCAATGTAAAATAAAAAATCTTAGATTATGAGTAAATTCAATTTTTTTCTAATAGTTAAGGTCTTTATTTATCTAATAGTGAGGTTTAGATTATACTTTACCGGACAAATTTTTGAAAAAATAAAGTTTTTAAATGTTAGTATTTGTTCAGAGTCTTATGAGAAAGTCAGACGTTTGCAGTATTTCTCGGATTATACTATCAGTCATGGATTAGATGTAGTAAAAAAAAACTAAAAATTAGATTTTTCGAAATATTCAAGTTTCTTTTTTTGCAATAAAATATATCAGTTACCGAGATATTTATTGAGAAATTAATTTTTAAAAATCACAAAAAATTCTCAAGCAACCTACGTTAAAATGGAGTCAAAACATTTGGCAACGTTGCGTAGCGCACGAGCTTCAGACCATTCAATAAATTCAAACTAATTTATTTATTTACACTGACTGCAAAAATTTAAACGTGGTTAAGGTTATATTGTGCAAATGAAAATGTAAAAAACCGAAGCACAGCGTTGCCAAATCACGGACAGGTTACTAGCAGTTGATTTGAAAGAGTCAAATTAATTTTTGTATTTAACTATTTTTTTTTTTATTTTCAAAATTTCAACGATTAATGCCTCATATACTATTTATTATTTAATTTTAGGAATTTTTATGGGTTTCTTTTTTTAATTTATCGTATATTGACTACTACAATTGTTTTGACTCAAGTGGAGCGAAAGGATTTCCTTAAATAGGATTGAAGGAACATTTGTGGCCAGTGTACTTTTTTCGGCCACTTTATTTTTAAATTATTGTATAAATATTTCTATAAACGCAAGAACTTTATGAATTCAATTCGTATAAATGTACTAATTCATAAATTCTACTTGAATAGTTAAATTTTTTACAAATTCAAAAATATCAAGTGGCTAAAAATGGTCCTAAGATGACTTGAAAAAAAAATAAAATAAGTAATAATTTGCATTTGAAATAAACTGAATAATAACAAAAATTCAAAAGAATTGAATTCCAAACAGCCTTTCTCTAATTAAGTGATAAAATTTCACCTGTTCCCGGCGATCTCCCTGTAAAAGGACTTTAATTTTCCTCAAATTGCACTGAACTGTTCCGTCATTATTATGCAAATTATCATTACTAATAATACTGTTAGTTTCAAAATTATCAGGCTTAAAATCCTGACTATTGAAGCCAATCGGAGCGATATCGCGCTTGCCGTTAGTCCAGCCGCGGCTGTACTGAAAAGTCTGACAAGTTGCAGTAATGATTACAGCCGATAAAATAACTGGTGTCCAAGATAGATAGAGCATCTGTAATGAGTAATAACATTAATTAGTGCATTAGCCGAGTGTTGTGGACTAAAAAAATAATAAAAAGGAGCATAATATAAATTCAAATTAAATTAAACTATCTAAATGACTTTGCATTAATATAACTTACAAGCAAAAAAATTATAGGGACGTGAATAAAATTTTATTAAGCATAAAAGTCCAAGCGAATAGTACCGTTTAAATGTAATGCATTGATGACATTGTGTAAATGTTTATGTATGTTGAAAATTTTCAAAGGGTGCCCCGAGACGCTAATTTTGAGAGGCCATTAACGCTACTCGCGTCCCTGGTCATTAAGATAAAAGTAAGTGCTACTAAGTGTCTTGCGGATAAGAGACAGGACCAGTGTTGTCTGCTTAGACAGCTAAACGTTTATGTCTCCTCTATAATACGCTTGTGTTGATTCTTATTCTTGTATTTCTGTATATATAGCGGCCGCCTAAGCTCCGGATTTTATTTATACACATTTATGCCCAAAGTTTTATATAAAACATTATAATATAATACTTGGTCTTCCGCTTATATTACATTTACATGCGTTCCTCGTGACTCACGTCAATGACTAAGATATTAACCCGCTATTTATTGTTATTTACTCCGCCGCTACATTAATGTTATTTACTGGAGTTTTTAAAAAATCCGATTTAAGTGTTTTTATCTAATAGACCTCATTGCAATTTTTTTTAAACACCTATACATTACAATTTTTTTTAATTAATCGTGTCAATAAATTTATTCAAGTCTTATTTTTGTAAAAATTTTAATTAATTAATTTTTTTCGATTAAATAAATTAAAAATAGTTCAATTTAATTTTTTTTACAAAAAAATAGTTTAATTTTTACTGTGTTAATTTTTATAATTAGATTCCGCGAGCAAAAAACTGGAAAAATTCTATTAAATATAGAATTTTAATTGTAGTTTGTAAAAAATCCGATTCAAGTGTTTTTATCTAATAGACCTCATTGCAATTTTTTTAAACACTTATACATTAAATATTTTTTAATTAATGGTGTCAATAATTTTATTTAGCTTTCATTTTTGTAAAAATTTGAATTAATTAATTTTTCTTCGATTAATTTCGTGTAAATTTCAATATATAATTAGGTTTTTTAGCGAAAAACTGGAAAAATTCCATTAATTAAATATAGAATTTTAATTTAGTAAAAAATATATTTTTAAAAAAGTATTATTTAAAACAGTAATTTTTGGGACTTTTAAATTTACTTCTTTAATTGTTTATCAATTCTATTTTAGAACTGTAAATTTTTCAACTGTTGCAATGGTCATCATTTAAATTTGTATAAATATTTCATTTCCTGCAGCTGTTAATATTTTTTCCCTCGATTCTATCCGCAGGTAACAAAAGGACGAAGGATAATTCACAACTTGGCGGTCGGTAGAAAAGCAGGTGAACTTTTCAACGTAGACAATTCAAAGCTTGAAAGCGAACAGAAAATTAAATTAAATTTTTTGTCTAAAAAAATGTTTTTAAAATTAAAATAATTATTGATACTTTTATTATAAACTCAAATAAAAATTTAATTTAATTTTTTCCTAACACAAATTAATTAAAATTAGTAAAAAAAACGGTTAATAGTTCATTTTCAAACGTGTTTTGCTCATGTATAAGATAAAATTTCGAAAAAAAAGCTTCACTTTTCGATAGGTAATTTAATTATCTATCGAAGAGCAAAGCGCTTTTTTAAAAATTTTTATTTATTTATGCATAAAATGCGTTTTAAGATTCCATTTGTTGTACAAATAATGGCAAATCCACAGATTCGGTAGAATCTGGCGCCAAGTTCCGTTCAAATCCGTTGTAAACGGAGCGCCAGACTACCGAGTGTGTTTACTGTAAGCACCCTAGCGGTTTCACCGCTACGGTTATAATATGGTCAATTCACAGTCAAGGATTGGTCAAACATTGGTCTATATGAAGTGATTTGACGGTCTATATCAGGTGTCCCCTGATAGCCAGCGCTTTCTCAGTAATAAGTGTTGACTTCCAGCAGTTACGGTTAATTTATACATCAAGTTGGCGGTAATTCTTCACTCAACAACAGTTGTAAGCAAATTGACGGAAATCTACGGCCGCAACTTGAATACAAGTTAACAATCAAACTTATAGTTAAATTTCCTTTCAACTTTACTACAATTTGACGGAAATACTTGTACAGCAAGTTTTGACGTCTATTTGCACAGTAAGTTATAGGTAACTAATAGGTAATCGCTCGCTTTGCCAAGTCTTTCCGTCAAGTTTGCTTCAAATTGCGGACGTAGATTGACAGTAAGTTATAGGTAAGGTAGCTATCAGGGTACTTGCTTAAAGATTGAAGAGAAAATTTCCTTATCGATCATGTGTAGTGATGTAATATCCACGTTCGATAATAAGGACATTAGTTAAGCGAACGGGCGGTAGAACAGAGTTCCAGAGGTACAGTTGTTTCGAAGCGATACTGATATTACCAATCGTGGATTATTCAGAAATTCATGATGACCGAAAATACACAGTGCCCTGATAGCCACCTTACCTATAACTTACTGTCAATCTACGTCCGCAATTTGAAGCAAACTTGACGGAAAGAGTTGGCAAAGCGAGCGATTACCTATTAGTTACCTATAACTTACTCTGCAAATAGACGTCAAAACTTGCTGTACAAGTATTTCCGTCAAATTGTAGTAAAGTTGAAAGGAAATTTAACTATAAGTTTGATTGTTAACTTGTATTCAAGTTGCGGCCGTAGATTTCCGTCAATTTGCTTACAACTATTGTTAAGTGAAGAATTACCGCCAACTTGATGGATAAATTAACCGTAACTGTTGGAAGTCAACACTTACTGAGAAAGCGCTGGCTATCAGGGAAGGCGTTGGTGTAAACCAATGTAGCCAAACATTTAAATTTGCACTTCACTGGCTGATAGCGTCATCTGCTGGATGCATCTAGAGGCATTACAACTCGTAACGAAAGCTCTATCTGAACGAATTTTTTTTCGTTGCTTAACAAGCATGAGAGACATCTTCAGGCCTTCAGAAAACTAGCAACGGGAAGCGTTTTTATCGCGGATTTGAGTTGCTTAGGCCATATAATAAGACTTCGGTCTCCTGTGTGTAGTCATCATATACCTAACCTAACTTAAAAACTACGAATAAGTAATTTAAGTGCTGAATTCAAAAATAATTACGGGAAGTAACCTCATTGGTTAATTTCCGACAAAACATTACCAGTGGATGTTTTATTTAATAATAGTACTTATTATTTTACATCGTCATCTTTTTTAATGTAAGTATTACTGCCAAACAAATTTATAATATACACGATAATTCAACTAGGCGCGAATAATTCAGTGCCCTTCGATTGGGTTATGTAGTAAAAAGCGTCAAATAATATTTTTTATTGCAGTGATAGTGATCATTTTTATTATTGTTATTATAGATTGTGGATAGTTATTATGATGGGAATGATTATAAATGATACGTTAACATATATATACATAGGAAGCCATTGGTAACCAGTATAGTACACTGGTACTGTTTATCAGCAAGTACTTATGATTTGCGACGCCCCCGTTCTTCTTGCTCTACCATTCACTCTTATTACTTTATGTCCTGCCATTTAATTATACTAAAATTATACTTAATTGCTCCAAAAATCAACGAAAATTAAAACAAATTTATTGAATATTGAAAAATGGATGATGACGAAGGAACATCAAGCTCCGGACCAGTGTCATCCTTGAACAGTCTATTTTCTTTCACCAGTCCAGCAGTTAAAAAACTTCTAGGTTGGAAGCAGGGCGACGAGGAAGAAAAATGGGCTGAGAAAGCCGTTGACTCGGGTTCCATGATTTTTGATCCCCCGACAAAATATCCCCGACAAATTATACCCAAGACAAAAATTACTCGACAAAATATCCTAAATAAGCCGTCTATCTTACTGCATATTTTTTACAAATTATGGCAAAAGAAATTATCAAAAAATTTCATTTATATTTTTAATCAAATTTGTGTGTGTTTATTCGACATTAGACTAAAACAAACGCTTGTTATCGTGTTGTGCCCTTTTATCATTGCGCCTTTTGATAATTTCTTTCTTTTATTCAAATTTTCGATAACTATAACCGAATTTGAAGGATATTTTGTCGGGTAATTTTTGTCTTGGGGATATTTTGTTTGGGGATCAAAACGCCTGATACCGTTGACTCGCTGGTTAAAAAAATTAAAAAAAAGAAAAGGCGCTATCGAAGATTTGGAGCACGCTCTTAGTTGTCCAGGTACATCGAGAAAGTGTGTTACGATCCCGCGGAGTCTTAATCGGCGACTTCAGGTGTCGCATCGTAAAGGCTTGCTGCACGTTATCTATTGTCGAGTGTGGAGGTGGCCTGATTTGCTAGAACCCCGAGCTAAAACCTCTGGAGCTGTGCCAATATCCGTTTTCAGCCAAGCAGAAAGAAGTTTGCATCAACCCTTACCATTACAAACCCGTTGAGAGTCCTGTGTTACCACTGGTACTCGTGCCAAGACACTCAGAATATGCACCAGGGCACTCGTTGCTGCCCTTTGCCCAGATCCTTTACTACCAATATCCTGTTACGTGAATTTTGGAACGCTTCACGTAATAATTACCGTAATTCCTATTCTTTCCCGCTTCACAGCATTATTTAAATTGGTTGCACAATTTCTCTCTGCGCACAATTACTCTCCTAGAGTGTTAATCATGGATTCGAAGCTGTCTACGAGCTTACCAAAATGTGTTCTATAAGGTAAATTTTATGTAATATTAATGACAAAGACACGACGATGCCACACAATGTCTCTCACTCAACTAGTGTATTCAATGCTGGGCCTACTGGAGGCTCGAATATAAATCCCACGTCGCCCATGTCCTTAATAAGCTCGGTACCAAGTCCCGGGAGCACTTCAAATAATTCCCAGAGTCCGTACGGCACAAACGGCTTACCAGAGACACCGCCACCAGCTTATTTGCCGCCAGATGATGGATCACAAACTGTACAATCTCCGCCACCTGATCCCGCGGCCATGGACACCACCGGTGCGGCAGAAGT